ACCCTCACCCGACACCCATGCTACGCAACCCCCCAGGCGCTGGCCAAGTGGGTGGAGCAGCTGCTACCTTTCCTGGGGCTGCTGGCGCTGCTGTTTGTGTATCAGTTCTTCACAGGTGGGCTGAGGGTGCCCCAGGGGCATCAGCAGAGCAGCACAGCAAGGGGTAGGGACGGAGGGCGGCGGACCCCCGGCACCACGGTATCAAAGGAGTGAGCATCTGCAGCAGCACAGCAATTTTTTGTGTCGAAGAACACAAGCAGGATGCTGTCCTTTGTGCGAACAAGCGAGTAAGGGAACAGCAGACGCCCCAGCAACCCCGCTCATCCCGCGGTGCGTGGTGGTGCCCGGCGCCGCAGCGGCGGGCCTGTACGCTGCAACCCCTTCAGCCTAAATCAGGGCGCGTGCCACCTCTCAATCCGCAGGCCTGTTCCTGTGCGCCTGGCTGACCTGCAGCGTCCACAAAGCCAATGATGTGCTGCGAAAAATTGTCGCCCAGACCACCTGCGAGCCGTGCGAACTGGCGGCCGCCGTCATCTTCGTGGCCACAAACGTGGCGCTGACGCTGTGGCTGGCCGGCCCGCAGCAGCTGCGGGCGCTGCTGCTGCTCGCACCCCCGCCGCCAGCTGGCGGCGGCTCCGGCGAGGGCGCCGCCGGGTCGGTCTGGGCGGTCGTTTTTGGCGTGGCCATAACGGACTCCCTTGTGCGCTGCTGCGGCATGTGAGTGGTCCACGTGGGTGCGCCGGCGCGGCGCCGTTTTGGGGCCGGTCTTGCGTGGGCGACTGTAGCTGTCACATGCATGGGCACCCGCAGCTGCGCCGCTCGACCACAAGGGTTACGGTGCCAGGCCACTCGGCTTGAGGGATGGTCAGAGGATGTACCTTGTGCACTCGTCAAATCCTGATCTTCACTCCGCACAACACTCACTCATCCCTTAACAGAATTTTGTCTTGTGTCTCCTATCTGCGCATTTCTGACCCCACCCACGATTTACATCTTGCCCACTCTGATCTTATACAGCATTCCGAAGCTCATTATCGCAGCCATCACCATGCGGCCGCAAATCGGCTGCGGCGGCGGCGACAGCGCGATCGCCCGCCGCCTCAGCAGCGCGAGCAGTTGGAGCAGCAGCAGCAGCGCCGGCAGCAGCAGCAGCAGCAGCAGCGGCGGCGAGTGGGCCGGTGACGTGCCAATTGACGCGTGTCGCTGCAGCGGGGGGCCGCGCGGCCTTTCGCCTCAGCGCAGTCTCGACCTCGGCAGCACAACCAGCGAGCCGTCGCACGAGATGGCGGAATGGAGTCAGCGCCGGCCAGCCAGCGCGGGCGGGGTCGCACGCGCCGCCGCCCCAGCCGCCGCGCCCCCGCGTGCAGCCCCCTCGCATGCTGCGCCCGCGCGGGCGGGGGCGCCGCCGGAGCACGCGCAGGTGCATTCCGCGCAGGCGCAGGTGCGCGCCAGGCGGCGCGCGCGGCTGCTAGCCCTCTACGACTTGGTCCAGGTGCGCTGCCGGGGAGCGGCGGCCTCAGACCCGCGCCCAGCTGCACCTGCGGTTGTAGCCATGGCCGCTGGGTCTACGGGGGGCACCGCTGCTATGCAGCAGGCGCCGCCTTGTCGAGCCGGCGCCGCTCTCCCGCGTTGCATCATGCTGTGTCTGCCGTTGCAACGCTCTGCATGAAAGCGGATGGAAGGCGTGGCTCCCATGTGCGGCAGCGCCGCACCGTCGCTGCCCATACATCCCATGAGCCTGGATGGCTCCAGGAGCGGGCGACCGCGGGATCTTGTAACAATCCTAATCCCATACACTCCGCACGTACCCACAAGAAGCGGTCTCCCATCCCAACAAGGCCTGTACAATTCACCCCGCCTCTTGCCCGCTGCCCCCCCCCTCTCCTCGGCGCCAGGCCGGCTACCGGACGCTGCTGCCGCTGCCCGCATGGCACGCGTACCTCGCCCGCGCCACTCCCAACCCGGCGCTGTCTGCGCTGCTGGCGGCCGCCTACCTGGCGTTCAAGGCGCACGCCCTGTTCCGCCGCGGCCAGCTGCTGCTGCTCGCGACGCGGCTCGTGCTGCGGACGGGCGCGATGTACGGGCGCTACCTGAAGCGGGGCGAGCTCGACGCGTGCGGCGGGGACGGTTCGGCCGGCGGGCGCGGCCTGACGTGCCCGATCTGCAGGGACGCGCCTACGGCGCCGATCCGGCTCGACTGCTCCCACGTGTTTTGCGAGGTGCAGGGGGCATCAGCTGCGGGGTTTGGGCATGACTCTGTTTCTTGGTGATTTGGCTTGAAGCGAGGCTCGGTTGCTAGCTGCCAGGAATTTTGCAGCATGCACCCGCACCGCCATCGCCGCCGCGGTTGTGACGTGTGCCGCCGCTGACCTGCCCGTCCCCTGCTCCTGCTCCCGCAAACACCTCGCATGTGGGCATCACAGGACTGCCTGGCTGAGTGGCTGGAGCGGGAGCCCACCTGCCCCATGTGCCGCTGCAACGTGAAGCCCCCCGGTCTCAACTTCGGCGACGGCTCCACCACCCTGCTGCCGCAGCTCTTCTAGCCAGCAGAAGCGGCGCGGGCCGCTGGCTGCGGGCCTGAACGGCTCTGCGTGCGCATGGACGCGCCGAGCGCGGCGATGCGGGGTGGGGTGGGTGGGCCCGCCCGGCAGGCCGCCAAAGCAGCGCCGGCAGGCGAACGGGCTGCGGTTGCTTGTTGTTGTCGGCGGGGGCCGGGGTTGGTCGATCCCGGATTCATGTGCGGGCTGAACAATTTAGCCCGACAGCAGGGGGTTGCGTTGCTAATGAATGCGGCACGCGTCGATCTGACGCGGCGGGGCAGAGGGGTGAGGGTTGTGCCGTGGCGCAAGACTGTCACAATGAAAAGGAAAACACTCAGGGGCGCGTGCCCCAGCGCCGCTCCGGGGCCCTCTCCTGGCGACCATCCGCCCGGCGACACACACACTCTCTCTCACACTCACATCCTTCCGCAATGATCATTGCATTGGCAGCCGATCTGCCATGACTCAACACTTGCAAGAGCCGCCGATGCGGCGCTTGCCTCGGGCTTGACAGCAGCGCCGCTTGTGCGCAGCCGGGGCCGCGGCCTTTTGGTCCCCGGAGTTCCCGGGGCCCAGATTCTGGGGCAAGAGCATTGCATGGGAAATGTTGGTGGCTGCCGGAAGGATTTGGGGCAGGGCAGCCGCAGGGAGAAGCCCATATGCAGGATGGATTCAAAAGCAAGGGATTCTCGGACGCTTTGGGGCTGAAAGCTGGCGTGCTTGGGCCTGCTGCGCCATATGGTTGCACAAGCATGGCCAATTTGTTGGCCGCTTTGTCCTTGCGACGCCTCATGGCCAGCCTGCAGCCCGCTGGCTGGCAGCCACAGCACATGTTGCTGCCTGAGCTGTTGGGGAGTTGCTGCCTTGCGGGCAGGCCGGGTGCTGGCCGGGGCGCAATAATTCAAGACGCAACGCCCGGCACCGCCTGCAAGGGGCTGAGGCGCTGTGCAGCTGCGCCGGGCTGGTCACCCCCAGCAATCCTTTTGACAGCCCCCGAGACCGCCCGCGGTATGGGGTGCGCGCCGCGGGGCTGAGGCCTTGTGGGCCGCCCTTTCTAGATAGTCGTGTGTTCTGAGTAGCTTTTGCAGACCGGCGATTGCCTTTCTCGCGCGCCTTTCCAGCTTAGCACTGTTTGGGTTTTGCTTCAAGCACGGGCCTTGCCCAAACATATGGGCCACGCCTGTTGCATGGAGGTTTCCAGCTTGAGCATGTGTGCGTGCCCCCAACCTAGTGTCTTCGGGCATGGCCTACGTTGTGCAGCCTCGGTCAACATTGGAGTCAACATTTCCCCACCTGACCGCACGTCATCTCTCGCCATCACTTCCAAAAAAATGAATCCATGCTGCGCGGGGCGTGCCCTGGGGCCCTAGGCGCACTCACGTGCGCTTGTCAGTCCCGCCACCCGTGATGCATCGGCGCGTCTCGGCACCGCCCCGCCCTCTTGGGTAAATGAATGCATGCGCGTTTTTTTCTTGGAACTTACGGGCCAACAACGGCTCTGCCAGGGCAGTCGTCCCGAGGTGACGGTGTCTCTTTGCTGCTACCACAGTCGTTTCTGGTATGCTATTTTTTCCTTTACTGTACAGTAAAAGCTCTCGGGTGGATACATGCTTTTCCTTCTGCAGGGGAAGGGTCCATGTTCTGCCAGAAGCAGTGCATTTTCTGTGTGCTTTCGCTGTAATCATCCAGGTCTTGTCGAAAACGAGGGGGACCTGGGACCCCTGGTTTGCGGGCACTTGGGCCGTTGATTTGTCACTTGATGCGGGTTGTGGCTGCTCAAAAATGGCAAACAATCACTACCATTCACAGGAATACAACGGTTCAGACGATCACTGTGAGCGATCCAAGAATAGCACAAAGTAGCGGCCCGTTGAAAGCTATGCTCAGGGGTTGGCCTGCAACCTCGGATGGCCCTCATCCAAGGGTGGCATCTACCCCTCTCTTTGGCCCGGCTCTCGCGTCCCCTCCCCCCAGTGCAGGCTGGTTCTTCTTGCCCACGTGAAGTGTCCCACAGCATCCTGCTGTCACCGAGTGACGCAACCATCGTCAGACGATGGTTACAATTGAACACGCTGCTACAGCAGCCCTTATCATCCGTGTGCGTTGTGGGTCACGAGAAAAAGGTGTGGGCTCGAACCTTGATATGAACCTTACAAACCCTATGAAGGTCATGAGAAGGTGAAATTATTACGAGGGTTTGGTGCCTACGTTGCAACCATGCACGCATCGTCCACGTGGCGGCCCCGTGGACCAACCGTCAGCTCGTAAGCGGCCTAGCCACCCTGCACTGTCGTTTTGTGAGCATTGGGCCGGGCCCCTGTAGGGCTTCACGTATGGCCATGCGGTAGTGGGGGGGTTGAACCGAGGTTGAAGTGCACAATCATGGCGTTTTCATTGGTTTACAGTTGAAGTAACTTGACTGACAGCCCGTGACTAATCTGTTGCCAACAATCTCTTGCTTGGAGGGAGAGTCAGGCTTGCATCTCAGCCGAAAAATAATACAGTGTAATTCATAGATATGTAGCGTCTTCACACTTGGTTGTCACCTGTGCACCGTGAGCCTCACGGCGGAAGTGATCACTGCGCAGGACCGCCATCGTCAACATTCGAGTACGGCATCATGGTCACTTAAAAGCAATCATGGCGCAGAAACAGACTGACGCAGCGGCGCTGCAGGACGCCGCGCATGCACCGCCTGCTGGTGCGGGTGCCTTGTCCAGAGACAGCAATGGATCGTCCCGGGCTCTCGAAGTCGTGCAGCGGATCCGCAAGCGTTATCACCAGGACGGCCACGTGGGGGACGACCCCGAGGGCGCGAAGGAGCTGCTACAGTGAGCGCATTGGACGCAGCGTCGTCCGCCCCTCGCGCCGGTTACGCCAGGGCATGAAGCTGGCGCGCCACAGGGTGTCTGCAAGGGCTGCCGCCCCGCCAGCCTCGGGCGCCGATCAACGCCCACCACCCCCCGCTGCGCAGGACCATTGCCGCATCTGCGCAGCGGTTGAGTGCTGACCTGTACGAGTCAGATGTTCACTTTGTGCTGGAGTAGGTGGCAGAGGGGGGGGGTTGTTACGAGGGGGGAAAGACTCCACCGTCCGTGTAGGGAGTGCGATTCGCAACCCCTACATGGAAAGGCCACCTTGACATCATTGCGCTGGCGGCGGCGGCGAAGCAGCAGCATCGCCAGCAGCTGGTGATGGGCCGTGCGCTATCCCAGAACGCGCAGGGGCTCAGACAGCCTCAAGGCTTGGCACTCAATGGCGCACCCGCGCGCTTGCCAGCCCAACTGTTCGTCTAACACGGGGCGCGACAGCCAGACCTCACGCCCCCTTTCCCCCACCAAAACACACCTCCTCCCCTTCCACAGGCTGGTGCAGAACGCCGACGACTGCTACTATGGCCCAGGCGTCCTCCCACGCATGCAGCTGCACGTCTTCCACGACGGCATCCTGGTGGCCACCAACGAGGAGGGGTTCACGGAGACCAACACCCGCGCCATCTGCAACATCGCCTGCAGCTCCAAGAGCCGGCGCGTGGGCGCGTTCACCGGAGAGAAAGGTGGGGCTGGGGCCGCTGGGCGCCCTGGGCTTGCGGCGCCTGTGGAAGCCAAGGCAGCAGGCGGCTTGGCGCAGTGCAACACTGCGCGGGACGCCGGCCTGTGGCCGGGCGGCGGCCGGCAAATAGAGCATCGCCATCCACCAAGTCTTTGATGAGATCCGTCACCACGGGCGTTTCGTGACAAACCCAATCAATCAAGGCAAGCACACCTCAATCCCACCCACCTTACACCCAACCTGGACCCCGGCCCCTCAACCCGACCCCGCCAGGCATCGGTTTCAAGGCCACCGCCGTCGTCTCCCAGGTGCGGCAATAGGGAGCTGCCGTTGCACTGTCCAGCCGACCTCCCCCATCTGCACTCAAGAGTGACGCTGCGCCGCTCACATCGTTCTGTGCCTTTGAGAGGCTGGCACATCAGAAGTGTTCCCTACAAAAGAGTATTGCCCAGCTGCCCTGCCCGACCCCAAGGGGCCACACACCCTACCCTGCCTGACTCGCAACCATGACCGCAGGTCACGTACGTCTGCAGCCCCTACGCAACCAGCGATGCGGCGGCTGGCGGCGCTCCACGTGACGGCAGCGAACCGGAGCGCGACGAGTGGCGCTTCTGCTTCGACATGCGGCCCGGCGGCGCGGCCGGCTTTGACGTGGAGGGGCTGGGCATGGTGTGCCCGAAGTGGGTGGTGGGCCTGCCGCAGCTGATGGAGGGCTGGCTGCAGGAGAGGGCGCGCGGTGAGTCACCGCAGCAGGCTTGCGCCAGCACCAGGGACGGGCGCCGCCGCCTTGCTTGTTGGTGATCTTGCTTGCACCAATGCAATCAATGTGGATGTGACATAAATTTAGGCTTTGGACTGTGTAGACCCTCTTACCTGAGATGCCGTTGCGGGCTTGGCGCACCGTTACCGGTGCCGAAGACCCGCTCTGCAGCCTGTGAAACCTGCTCTGCCACCCATCTATCTTTTTAAACCTGCTGGTCTGCTGTCTGCACCCGTGCACACACACACACACACACACACACACACACACACACACACAATGGTGCACGCGCCCGACGTGCTCCTGGTCTCCCCTGCCCACCACCCAGGCGTCTCCGCGTCCGAGGTGCTGTCTGGCGCCACCACCCGCATCTGGCTGGACTTCAAGCCGGACGTGGACTGCGCCGCCATCACGGGCCAGCTGGCGCTGCTGGACCCCCTGATGCTGCTCAACCTGCGCAAGCTCAGGTGGGTCTGCAGCCGATGTCGTTGCTCCTGAGTCAGAGGCTGCCAGGTCAGGGGAGGAATGTTGAACGTCTCACGGCGCGGGCTCTTTGAGGGCTGGCACGTGCTGCACTGTTGCGCGGAGTATCTCATGCCCTGCAAAGCCCCTCACTGCCTGCATGATGCGCAACTACGGGCACAGTAGGCAGATCCCAACCATCAGCGCTGCTTTCAGCCCCACCACACCTTGTTTGCTGCTGTCGGTTCCTCTTGCCTGGTCAGGTGCATGGAGGTTTTTGTTCACCCCAACGAGCCTGGCGGCGCCGCGGCGCTGCAGCGCTTCTGCAAGGAGGAGGGCCCCGGCGGCATCACCGCCATCGCGGCCGAGAGGGGGCCAGTGGGAGGCGCCCTGGATCAGGAGCGGCACAGGCTGCTGACTGTTCGCCAGCAACTGGAGGTGCGTCATAGTGGTGTGCCTCTGCGACTCAGCAACGCACCAGTTGCTGCGCTGTGAGCACCTGGCTTGGTTTGCTGTAGACTGCGGCGCCAGCCAGTCGCCATGTGGCCGCTTCTGTGCCAGCCTCATGCATCCTCACGTGCCTGACACGCACTCACGACTTGCCGCCAACCGCCTGTCAACCGCCACCAACCGCCCAAAACCTCCCTGAACACCAGGTGCCCGAGGACGTGCAGCTGAGCGCGCGCGACAAGAGGGACGGCGTGACAGCCGTGGAGCTGGTGTTTGCGCTGCCGCTGGGCGAGGGGGGCGCGGCGTCTGCTGAGGAGCCGGGCCAATTTTTTGCCTTCCTGCCTGTCAGGAGCTACGGCTTCAGGTGGGGGCGGCTCTGCGGCTGGTGTCTGAAATGACGGGCTCGTTGTCTGGCGGCCTGCCAACCTGCAATCACCACCAACGCATGCAAGCAGGCAGGCACAAACACGTGCAGGTGCGCACGTAGCGCGCGAGCGTGCGCGCGCACACACACACACACACACACACACACACACACACACATACTAGCGTATACACGCCGCCCATCTGTGTGCGCAGATCCACCTGCAGGCCGACATGCTGTTGGCCTCAATCAGGTCTGGTGTGCTGGAGGGCAAGAAGTGGAACCAGTGGATGAGGGACCAGGTGGGATGAGGGTGGGGAGGGCCGGACGATGCGATGGGGCATGGGACGAGTCAAGGAAGAGGTTGCAAGGGCAGTGTGGGGCAGCAGGCACCCTTAGTGGTGAGTCAAACGCACTTACCTTGGACACCATACATTCCTTCAAGGCGCAGTATTGCACCTTTGACTCTATTGATGCCTCACCCCCCGCAGATTGCGCCCGCCTTCGTCGAGGCCGTGCTGCCCGCGCTCCGCGCTGCAGCTCCGCAGCTTCAGCGCAGCTTCCTCGCATACCTGCCCTTGGCGAAAGAGGTTGACACCGACTTCATGGCGGCGGCGGCCGACAAGATAGCCGGCCTCATGAGCGCCACAGAGTGCGTCCTTTCGGCCTCCGGCGCGTGGTGCGCCCCCACCGGCGTGCTGCTGCCGGCTCCGCAGCTCTCCCGCGGCGGGGCCGTTGGTTAGGCCGCGCAGCTGATAAGCAGTGAGCTGCTGTCGGAGGCTCTTGGGGGCGTGGAGTACCCGCATCAGGACCTCCTGGCCTCTCGTCGCGTTGTGTCCGCGCTGCGGCGGCTCGACACCAAGCAGCTGGGCAGGCCGCACCTGACGGCCATTCTGACGTCACCAGCCACGCGCCTGTGGCTGGAGGGGCTTGGCGCCGCCGAGCGCGCCGCATGGCTGCGCGACCTGCTGGGCTGCCTGGCCGTGGCACCCGCGCTCGCTGACTGGCCCGCGCTCGCCGCGGCGCCACTGCTGGTCCTGCACGGCGGCGGCGGCAGCGACGACGGCGGCAGCGGCTGTCTGGTCAGCGCGCAGGAGCTGCGCGGGCGGCTGTTTGTGTGGGACGAGTCGCTCGGCACAGCCGACGAGTGCGCACCCCTGTTTTCCGGCGAGTACGCACGTTCCGGCGGCAAGGGGCCGCTGTTTGTGGCGCCTGAGTTGCTGGGTCCGGGCGTGGCTGAGCTGCTGCGATGCCAGCTGGGCGTGAATCCCATCACGGCGGACGCGCTCGTGTATGAGATGATCAGGCGTCAGGGCGGCGGCGGCGGCGGCGGGGACGGTGGCGAGGACGCCGCCGCGAGGCTGCGCAGGGTGCTGTTTGTCTTCAGGAATCGCGGCAGGGTGTCTGCGGCAGCGCGCGCACACCTGAGCCAGCACCTGCAGCTGCGCGCCGAGCGCTCCGGCAGCGCTGACGGCGGCGCGGCGCTGTACACAATGTGTGGACACCTGCGCCTGCGGCCCCAGGATGAAGAGACAGCAGCTCTGATGGAGGACCTGACCGCAGCAGGCGTCGCCTTTGTTCACAGCAGCTACCCCTCAGCTTCCGACGAGCCGGAGTTCGGCCTCTGGCTAGGCCACCTGGGGGTGCGCGCTCTGGCGTCGGACGAGGCGGCCGCGGCGCTGCTGCGCCGCTGGCGCGGGGGAGAGGGGTTGCGGCAGCATCTGCGGCACGTGGCTTACCTGGCGGGCCGGCAGATGATGTTCTCAAAGTTCACCAACGAACTCCTGAAAAGCCACCTGCAGCTCTATGAGGCGTGTGGCCCGGCAGCCGGATTGGAGGAAGGAGAGGAGGAAGGGGAAAATGAGGTGGACGGCAGCGGCGGCGCGCCGTCAGTGGCCGCGGGGCGCCTGCACTGGCCGCCGTCTGGGGCGGCCGCGACGTGCACGGGCATCAAGGCTCAGCTGGAGAGGTGCTGCGGGGTCAGGTGGCTGCGCGGATGCTATCCGGAGAGCAGCCGCGCGCTTTTGAATGCGACGGGCGTGAAACCCTGCGGCCCTGGACAGGTGCGTGCCCTTGGAAGCTGGAGGCATGGGTGCGCGCTGCGCCCCAAAGGGCTGGCCGCTGGGCCGCCAGGTTGTTTTGGGGATGCTGTGCCAGCGGCTTGCCTGCATGAACTCCTCCTTTGCCGCACAAGCCGCTCTGGATCGATGACGATGCTTCATTTGCTGCTCCCCACCTCTGCAACCTTCCCACCCCACAGGCTGTGAGCCTCCTGGCCTCCCACATGCATTTCTAGCCCGGGCAGCTGGCATGGTGCGCCGAGCAGCTGGGCCAGCCCTTCGAGCAGCTTCTGCCCCAGCAGGTGGCGCTGCTCGCCGCGGCAGACTCCCTGCTGCCAAGCACCACCAAGGCCTGGTGCCGCGAGCGCATGCTGCTGCTGTCCCTCGATGGCCGCCTGCGGCTCGGCACCCAGCTGCGGCGGCTGCCCGCCGACCCGGCCGGGCGCGCTCTTGCCCCCGAGCTCGGTGCAGCTGCCGGAAACAGCGGCGGCTCGCCGCTGGAGTTTCTCCACAGCTGCTTTGAAGCGGACGGCGCGCCGATGTGGGTGCTGCAGGCCACCCTCGGGGTGCGGACCACGGCAGCGCTGGACATTGCGCGGCGCCTGGTAGAGCTCTACGAGGTTGGGAGCGCAGCGATGTCCGAGGAAAGGCGCGTGGCGCACGTCGCCTACTTGGCGGATCACGCGGCCGCGGCGCTCGGCGGCGGCGGCGAGGGCGACAAGCTGCTGGAGCGCGCGCGCCGCGCGCTGCTGCTGCCGGCAGGCGGCTGCGGTGATGCCAGCGGCGCTGGCCGGGAGCGCCTGCCCGCCGACCAGCTGTGGTGGCCGCTAGATGAAGGGCTCCAGGGCCTGCAGTCCGACATGCAGCAATCAGGCATGCGCTTCCTCGCCGGCCCACTCGCGGCCGCCGGCGGCCTGCGGCGCGCGCTGCTGTGCAGCCTTGGTGTGCGCGCGGCGGGGGCGGCTGAGGTGGCGTCAAGGATCGTGGACCTGCACGCGTGGGCGGACGGCGCAAGCATCGCCGCGCCGCGGCGCGAGGCGCACCTGGCGTTTCTGTCGCAGCATTTGGACACTCTCAAGGGACCGCTGCTGCAGTGCGCGCAGCGGTGGGTGCTGCTGCCGTCTGAGGGCGGCGGGTTCAAGCCCGCTGGGCAGCTCCACTGGCCGCTGCATGGTGATGAGGACCTGCAGCTGCAGCAGGACCTGGTCTCAGGCGGCGCTTTGTCCTTCCTCGAATCGAACGAGGCTGGCCGCGGCGGCGGCGGGGGCAGGGGCGAAACGGCAGTGCAGATGCGGTCTCTGCTGGCCCACTTGGGGGTCAAGTGGGCGGCGCCTCGAGTGCTGGTGACGGCAGTCGCCGAGCTGCACGCCTCTGGCGGTGCTGGTATTGCAGAGAGCAGGCGGCACGCGCACGTGGCGTTCCTGGCCAGGCAACTGTCAGTCGTGGAGCGCGAGTCAGACATGCGGGACGCTTTACAGCGTGCTCTGCTGCTGCCTGCCGCAGACGGCGGCCTCGCGCCGCCGGACAAGCTGTTCTTTCCGCTCGACAGCCGCTTCGAGGCGCTGCAGCCCGATGTGCTCGCCGCCGGCACGCGGTTCCTTGGCGGCGGCTTCGCCGACGCCGGCGCCTCGGGCGCGGAGCGCGCACTGCTGCGGCTGCTGGGCGTGAGGGAGTCGGACGCCGCGGCAGTAGTGGCGGCGCTGGTCGACCTCCACGTGAAAGGCAGCGCTGGCATCAGCGCTGAGCGGCGAGCGGTGCACCTGCGCTTCATGTCAGAGAACGCCTCCATACTCTTGAGGCGCGCTGGGCGCCGCGTTCGAGGCCGAGCTGGGTCAGATCGTCGACGCGCAGCAGCTGGAGATGCAGGGGCGCCGCGGGCGGGTGCGGGGCCTGATAAAGTCCAAGGGCTGGCCGCAGCTCCCGGATGATATGCAGCCCTGGCTGGCGGCCGCCAGGTCAGCGGACGGCCAAGGCGAGGGCGCGGCCGACAGCTGTGTGGGGGGCGGCGCCGCGGCAGGCGGCGCCACGGGCGGTGCGGCAGGCGGCCGGCAGCTGGGGCAGGACGTGTCTTCCCTGGCGGCGGGGCTGGAGCGCCAGAGGGAGGCGCGGATGCAGGCGCCGGCGGTGGTGACGGCGGAGCCTGACCCTGTGAGCGGCGCGGTGCTGAAAACAACAGAAACATGCGCAGACGCGCACCCATGCATCCGCGTCGCCTTCCCACCACCACCCAGCACCTGCGTCACGGGCACTTCCCTTCTGCGTGACGCCGGCCCAGCCATTCGTCTCGCGGTGCAGGCAGCTTGAATTGAACCTGTGTGCTGACGCGCCGCTGTTGCTGGATGCGGCACTGCTTTTGCGCACACGTCTGATATCAGCGCCCTGAAGAGATGCACGTCCACCTCACCCAGCCCCCCACTGCATAAACAAACACACCCAGGAGAACCTCGCTGTCGCATCAGACAGCAGCAGCAAGGACTCCGCCACCGCACTGGAGGGGCCCCTTCTGGGGGCAGGAGCCGTCGTCCCTGCGCTGGCCCTGGCTGGCGCCACCATCCAGCGCCAAGGTTGGTGGTTGCAACGGAAAACCGGCGCTTGGCAATTTGTTCGCGGGGCGCAGCGCTGAATGCCGCTGCTGACGCGTTTGCGTGCGGCAAGCGTAAAAGCCTGCTGCCCAGGCTTCAAACCCAAAGAGCCGCTTGGAGCATTCCGCCACTTCAACCGCCCCAGATCACCCAACTCTCAACCCCTGCTGTTTAAACAACAGGCCGTCGCCGGCACCCGCGGCCGGCGCCCTCTGCGAGCTACGCACTCCCCGACGGCGATGGCGGCGGCGGCGGCGTTTGGGATGAGGCCGGCAGCGGCGCGAGCGGGGCAAGACCAGCTGCGGCCGAGCGCACCAGCGCCGGCAGGGCATGCGTCTCTGACGCTCCCTGCGACCAGGACGACGACGCGGGCTCCGACACCGGCGGGGGCTATCAGGATGCGGCTGGCGGCGCAGGGGCCAGCTGGCAGATCCACAGAGAGCCCTCCCGCAATGGCCCAGCCCTCCGCGTTGCGGGCGGCGCCAGCGGTGCGCGCTCTCGCGGGCAGCCCGCGCGCTGGACATTCAGCGGGCGCAGCGGCCGCGCCTCGGGCGGCGGCGGCAGCTCTTTTGCGGGCGCCCAGTCTTTCTCGACCGGAAGAGAAGTGCACCACATGAGCAGCCATAAGACGAGCTATGCGCGCGGCTTTGTGCCAGCACCAGCCGCGGCGCCGCCGCTCGTGTGGGCCCAGGAGCCCGACATTGAGCTGGACGAGCCGGCGGCAGACCAAGAGGCAATCATTGCGGCCGCCGCGCACGTGGTCAGCGCGGCGCGGGGCAGCGGCGGCTCTGGTGGCAGCCTGGCGCAGCTCGTCGTCTTGGGGGCCAGCGGCGGCGGCGGGGCGTCCTCGTGTGACCTGGACTTTGCGCACCTGCTGCCGCCACTGCCGCCGCCGCCTGCGGAGACCGCCGCGCCCGCTGCCGTCTCGGCGCTTGGGCTGGTGGCGTCCGCCGCCGCCGGCGCCACGGCGGTGTCCATGGCGGCGGCCCCTGCGGCCGCTCCGCGCGCAGACCCCTATGGTGGAGAGAGGGGCGGCCGCGGCCGCAGCGCCGGCGTTGAACATGCCGCCGCCTCCGATGGCGACGGCAGCGCCAGCTCTGAGAGCGCCGTCGCCTCCCTCGGCGGCGGGCGCGTGCAGCAGGAGGCGCCTCCCCGGCAGCTGCAGGTGCAGGCAGGCGAGCCCACGGCCCCCCTGCCGGGGTACTGCGTCGAGCAGACCCACGTCCGGGAGGTCACCCAGACGGTGACTCACGCGGTGACGCACACCGTCACGACGCGCGTCACCCCAGCCGCGGCGCCCGAGCCCGCGTGGCGCCCGCGGGCGCCCGCGCCGGGCCCGGTCCTGCGTAGCATATGGAGCGCACCGGACTGCAGCCAGAGGAACCAGCTGACCGGCGCCCTGGGGGAGCTCTTTGCATTTGAGTGGCTGCGCGAGCGCCTGCCCGGCTTCGACAGCGACTGCTGGCGTTCCTGCAACCGCACCATCGGCGGGCTGGCGGCGCCCAACGCGGAGAGCGTGGTCGACTTTTTCTACGTGGATGCTGAGGGGGCGCTGACGGGGCGCCGGGGCGCCGCTTGCTGCATCGAGGTCAAGAGCACCGCCAGGGCGGACGGCGGCGTCGCCGGCGACGCTTTCGTGCTGAGTCAGGCCCAGCTCGAGCTGGCCTACAGGCTGCGGGGCCGCGAGGACGCCGCGTTTGTGATCGTGAGGGTGGTGGACGCGGGCGGCGGGCCCGGCAGCCGGCCGCTGGTGGCCAGGGTGATTGTTGACCCGGCGGACAGGCTGGGCCGAGAGCTGCTGCTCAGCAACACCGGGGACGTGTGCGTCACGATAGCCGGGTAGGGGCCGCCAGCATCGATTGGCGCGGCAGGTGCTTTGTGTGGTTGGGCGCTCCTTTGAAAGGAGCCGTCAGCGGCCGAGGTGTCTTTGAGGTGCAGAGTCGGGACTGCTGCGCACCAGCATCGCCGCGTGGCCCTTGGCCACGTAACACGGTGCAAGTGCGGCGCGCGGTGCACATTCTTGCATGAGTTGTGCTGTTGGCGTGCTTCGCTTTGCGGCGATGACGTTCACGCCGCCTGGTTTGTGGGGGCCAGGGATTTCAACAAGAAAAATTGCAGTAGTGTATGTTTACAATCATTGCAGACAGACCTTGCTTATCATACCTTGTTGAAACCGTGTGGTTGAAGTTGATTCTGCATCAGCTGTGTCCTGTGTCAAAGTCAATCAAGCCTTTCAAAGCTGCTTCCGTTGCGGGCGCGTTTGTGCCGGCTGTACGGGTGCTGTAAACCGCACACGCTGTGTCACGCATGTGGGTGAATGTCATGTGACAGGCCTTGGGTCATGTGATGTCCCGCTGAGGCCTACCAGCATGCAGCCACAAACACCCACCCAGGCTGCAAGGCTGCAAGGGAGAAGGGGGGCGGGCGCATGAGCAGGTGGGCGTACACTGCCGAGCGGCTGTGCTGGCTGCCGCCGCTTTGGTGTGCTCGAGAGAACGTAAATTCTTCTTCATTTGGGCGTTCGGGTGCCTCTGCAGAATCTTGCATCTGCAGCAGGTCCGCCGCGAGCGTCGCTGACATTGACTGCGAGGAGCCACAGGGTGGGGGTGGGGCACCGAGTGACGATGTCGGTGCAGCTGCACAAGAAAGAGCAGGCCGAGCACATGCACCGAAGACCTCAAGAGATCTCTGTATAAACGTTTTGCAGCGAGAGCTGATCGCAAGTGCGTTTCGGCCCCATGCAGGCGCTTAGCCACGCTGCCCCATTCGGATCAAGAAGTATAGTTAAGAAAAGCAGCGGTAGAATGGCCGAGCGTGTACGTGCTACAGGCGATGTGAGTGAGGCACAATGGAAGCAGCGGCAGCGCATCGGACGCCGCTGCCGCTGCTGGACGCGCGCATGCTGCATGCTATGTTTGGGCGTCAATGCGCATGACTTGACTTTGGAGGAAAGCAAACCGGTCCATCCATCCGGTCTTAGCAGCAAAAGCAGCCGTGGTCCTTTGCAACCCCGCCTTCCACCATCCTCTCCCCGACTCGTCACCAACCGCAACCCCGCCGCCGGCGCCTCGAAGGCCGCCTCTCCCGGCAAGACCGGCGTGCTGTTTGTATGCCTTGGCAACATCTGCCGCAGCCCAACAGCCGAGGCCATGTTCAGGGCGGTGGCCGAGCGCGAGGGCGTGGCCGACAAATTCGACATCGACTCGTGCGGCACAGGCGGCGGCAACCCCGGGTGGTGAGCCCCCGCAGCCGTCTGCAGGACGCAGCCCCATGGCCTGGGCCCGACGAGAGCTGGCCGCAGCAACAGCAGCAGGGGATAAACTTCTGCAGAGGGCAGCAGAGGAGGGGACGGCATGGACAGAAGGGGGAGTGCCGCGAGCTGCTGGTCGACGGCGAGGGCAAGAGCGGCAGCTGCCTTCGGAGCAGCTACGGGGCAGCTGCTGCCGCACGGGGCTGCCTCGCCCTGGCTAAGAAACAAATGAGTGTGAACCCACCCGAAAATCCACACACTCATACAAACATACGCACACACAACACAAACACCCATCTTGTGGATATTCCAACCATGTCAGGTACAAACCTGACGGCTGGAGCTACCATGAGGGCGATGAGTCAGACCCGCGGATGACGGCCGCCGCCATCAAGCGCGGCGTGCGCCTGACGTCGCGGTCGCGGCCCCTGCGGCCAGAGGACTTCCGGCGCTTCCAGTACGTCGTGGGAATGGACGCCAACAACATACGCGCCATTCTGGTGGGCGGCACCCCGGCCGCCACGCTGCTAAGCGGGGCTGCCGAGAGAACAAAGTAGACCAGTGTGCTTGCGCGTACCACTGCAAGCAGCCGCTACTCCTGCCAGTTTCAGGCGGGGCCTCGCGCTCATGGGGGCCTTGCGGCCTCTTGTTCACACACCACACACGATCGCGCGTTGCGCTTCCCCCCATTCTGCCTGGCCTGCTTTCCCCGCCCGCAACGCTCGCCCCAGACGGCCGCGGACTTTTGGGCCGGCAATGGCAGCCGGGACCAGCTGCCACCCTTGGACGAGGTGGGGAGGCCGCGACCCACGCCCCAGCCTGCCGCCCCTTGCTCCGCGGCGCGTCTGAACCTCCGCCTGCGGCGCAACCCACTTGCTGCCTGCCCGTACTCTGTCGCAGACGGCTGCTGTCCGGCCCCTCCTCACTCCCTCCTGCCTCACCTCACGTGTGCACACACCATCCATCCATACTGCTGCAGGTGCGGGGCCAGGTGTCGTTGATGACTCAGTACTGCTCCGACAAGTTCAAGGGGGCCTCGGAGATCCCAGACCCCTACTGTGAGCCGCACTGTTGCACGCCACCAGCAAACGCCATTGATATGCAACCGCTCTTGAGAGGCTGGCGCGATTTCATGAACGATTTTGCAGATCACCTGCGTCAAGTCACGCCGCGGGACCTCAAGCAAGTCATGTGCATACCAATACAGCCATCTGCTGCACGCTGGGGACCTCACAGCTTGCTCTGCCCCTGTATCCCCCCCACCCGCTCAAGGCGGCATTCCCGCGCCCTCAGCACTGGCCCGGGGCTGCCATGTTGCAGGAACCCCCCTCTCACCACCGTTCACACACCAAACCCTCCCCTTGCGCCCCTTCTCCTCCTCCCCATCCCGGCCCCGAAACGCACCCCCAGACGGCGGCCCCCAGGGCTTTGAGACGGTGCTAGACCTGCTGGATGACGCCTGCAGCGGACTGCTGCGCAGCATACAGGAGCAGCAGGGGGCAGCGGCGACTGAAAAGGGGGCGTGACGCCCGAACGGGGCGGTGGCGTGGTGGGTGGCCCCTCAGGGCGCAGGCTGCCAGGCAACGACGGCGTGTAGACAAAGGCCACCAATCAATGTGAGGAGTTTGGTAATTCGTATTCAGTCACTACCTCCTCTTGTGGCGCAACCTTCTGTCTGCGTTGTGGTGGTCTGGTGGCCTGGCTTGCCGGCGTGGTGGGAGTCTTGGAGGCGAACCGTGGCCCCTTGAATCTCTGTCACACAATGCTGATGCTACCCAGTCATATCCCATGAGCCTGGATGGCTCCAGGAGCGGGCGACCGCGGGATCTTGTAACAATCCTAATCCTAATCCTAATCCTTGGAGGGGCGCTGCTTGGCAGCAGGGACGGACGGGGTGGCGCCCTAGGGTGGGCGGGTGGGGTCGTCTAGGCAGCTGCTCTGCACGGCGATGTGGCGGAGTCCGTTGGGGCATGTGGGGGTGCGTGATCATCATCCCAGGATAACCTTGGGAGGATGTTGGGCGCGACCAGGAGGCGTCATGCCGGGGTCGGCAGGACACGCACCCACGGCCGTTCGAGCCGCGGCTCGAACGTGCGCAAGGGGCATGTCTGCAGAAGATCCCTCCGCAATATCAGCTGCATGCGCCATCATCGGCTGCCGCACTCCTGTTGTACGCTGTTGTGATGCCCGTGCCTCCTGTAAATTGGAGCATTCTGGAAGACCCAGCCACAAACAAATTATATCAACTCGATGCTCGGTCAAAACCGAGCTCTCGACGAGATTTTCCGCGCACATTCCTTTCGTTCCTTGCTGGAACTGAGAAACCAGCACGTACGGGTATGTTATGTTTTGAGGAGCGGTTCTTTTCACCGCAGGTGGCTCATCGTGGCGAGTGAAACCGTGGCTAAGAGGTTATGGCCGTCAAGTACCTTTCGAGGCGTCTGTGGTTCGATCCCTGGTGGAACTGGCGGAGCTGGGGGCGTGGCTTTCCCTCCGTGTGCCGCAGAACACGGGAAATCCACCTCTGGTGCACCCAACTTGCTACGGCGGGTTGGGGACGTGGGGGCCCAACCCCCGGCGCTGCCGGAACAAGGGTTGGGGATCAGGTTGGCGACCTGAAATAAGGCCCAAGGCTTGGGGCCCTGTGCCCCGCCTGTGGCTTCTTTTGTTCTGATATATTTCTGACACATCGCAGCCGCTTCACCCCGCACGCTTGCAACAGGCGAGCATTCACGAACGCGGATGGCGCAGCAAATGCGCGCCACAGCTTCAGCGCTCAAGACATTGGGCCGCATGGTGAAAAGACCTGCAGGGCCGTGAGCAACAGAGTCCATCTGCTCTGAATTGCGCTTAGCAACATGGCAGACACCGCAGTTTCCATTCCTTTGAAGTACCCTCAGCTGATGCGCCGGCAGAGTGTGTTTGTTTCCAAAACAAGGGCTGTCACGCAAGCCACTCCCACTACTGGTGTCCCCATAATTGCTTTGCAAGCCACCCTGGCTGGATCAATACTGTTACGTCGTGCGATGTACGAACCGCGCGCTGGGGACCCAGCCAGAGGGGCCGGGCGCTACGCACGACAAGGCAGCCGAGCGCGCACAGGAGGTGCAGCGGCAAAGCAGATGGCGTGACGCTCTCGCGTGAAGAATGCAGACAGAGAGACGACGATGTGAATCTGATGGCAAGCGCCACATAGAAAAGAGTGTTCAAAGGAAGACAGGTCCAAACAACATGCTCAACCGCTGGAACGCTGCCCCACCACCGGTGAAAAAGCCAGCGCCCAGGGAAAATGCTCCACTGCCTCTGCTGCTGCTGCTGCTGCTGCTGCTGCTGCTGCTGCTGCTTGTGCCACCACAAGCCTCGACGTCACCGCTTTTAGATCATGAACGGCGCTTCACAGCACTAGTTGGTCCCCGGCCCCCCGGGCCCTGCAGCCCCTTCCCTCAAGCACGGGCCGACCAAACTCATTGCGCCCCCGCCGCTGCACGGCCTCCGCCGCCGCCACTCACCGCGCGCTCGTGCGGCGCTGCTGGCAGACGTTTGCTGCCTGCGCGTGCTCACGCATCAGCCAGCTTGAGGCGCGGCACGATGTTCATGCTCTGCAGCTCCTGCGTATGGTTCACGTGAAACGACAGCGCAGGGTTGGGGGGAACGGGGTGAGCAGGCTTGGCGCACGTGGAAAGGCGGGGAGCAGCCGCAGGTGGCAGTCGGGCACAGGGCAGAGAGGGGAGTCTGTGGAGCCTCCCCAAGTTCCCCCTAAACTCCGCTTGTTGTGTGCTCACAGGCAGCGTCAAGGCGATGGCGGCAAGAGACGCCTCCCTCCCAATCCCGGAAAGGCTCGGCAAAGGCGCAAGCAGCGCACGCAGCATCCACAGCACACGCACCGCGCGCAGCGGCCCCAGCACACGCGAGGAGCACGCGCAGCATGTTCGCGCGCAACCGGCCCACGGCCCGCTCATGCTTGGAAAGGGGCGGGCGGCTGCACAGGCACACGCATCACTCGCGGCGTGGTCGTGCCTGGAAGAGCAGCTTGCATGCGTAGGGTATCTTGATGGCCGCCATGTGCTCGCTGCTGCCGTCCAGGGGCGACACCGCGCAGCCCCTCCTGTTGTCCCAGTAGCCCAGCAGGCCAGACTTGGTGTCCACGTGGACCTGGGGGGGGTGTGGGATGAGGGAGGGGGGAGGT